GATGGATGGATGGATGGATGGATGATAGATAGATAGATAGATAGATGATAGATAGTTGATAGATAAAAATAGATAGATGATAGACAGACAAATAAAGACAATAAATAGATAGCACAATATCTTTATTATATTCTTACTTTTCTTTTTCTTTTGTTTGTTTCTGCATGCACTTTTTACTCCAATTTCTTTTCTTTAAGTTCAGTTGGTATTAGATTGTATTGTAGGATCAAAATTTATATACATAGATATATATATATATATATGGTAGCTCTGGAGTAAAGCAATCTTAGCCTTTAGTTTTCTTAGGTTCTTTTCATTATTGTTTGCATCTTTTATCATATTTTATCAGACTAGAGTTGGAAGGGACCTTGGAGGCCTTCTAGTCCAACCCCCTATATCATTTCAAACAAGTGACTATCCAGTCTTTTCTTTTCTTTTCTTTTTGCCCCCAGTGTGAACACCAAATCTTTGTTTTCCTGGCTGAGGGTGCTTGGCCCACCCAGCAAATCTCATGGTGTGCACTGAAGTTCTGCACTATCCCAACTCTGGTTTTTGTCTGGCTGCGCATCTTCCATGCTCACAATTTATGTATGTAACCCAATGTGAAGTTAAGTTAAGATTATCCATAATGTTTGTAGACCTCTCTTCAAACAATGTATGAGGATAACTTTTCCAAAGAGGAACAAAGAGTTTGTTTTTCCATTAAACCCCAAGATGATACTGTTTTTGTTTGCAAGGGAAAACCACAAAGAACTCATAAATTTAATCACTGAATACTGGACATCTTTAAAAGACTGGAGACAAAAAAGACATTATGCAGCTAAGGATTTGAATCAGATGTGCTCTTTTGGTTTGTTGCCCTGCAGGAAAACACACAAACACAAGCACCGCAAAACAGTGAAGAATGGGGGTTGTTGAAACCAGTTGAAAATGAGTAATACGTTATTGTCAACCTGGTCAATGTACCTTAGTGCTGTATATAATGGTCATTTTGTTAGCACAAAATGATATCAGGGAATTTATAATGAACTTCGGTAAAGGTAAAGGTTCCCCTGCACATGCGTGCTAGTCGTTCCTGACTCTAGGGGGCGGTGCTCATCTCCGTTTCAAAGCTGAAGAGACAGCACTATCCAAAGACATCTCCCTGGCCATGTGGGCGGCATGACTAAATGCCAAAGGTGCACAGAATGCTGTTACTGTTAAGTATATCTCCTTTTGGAGACTAGAGTTGAGTAGCAGAAGGTAGCAAGGAATGTGCCACTGAATAGTCACACTATCTATCACAGCCGCCGAAGTTAAAACAAGGATAACTTTACTTGTTTTAACAAAAATAAAGTAGGATAAACATTCTCCAAAACAAACGATAAGTAGTCTTGAATTATATATACAGTCTATGATACAACACGTTGGTTTACAGATGCTCAACTCACGATTCACCATGTTGACAGGTAACTAACATACAGAGTAGCCACCATCCCATATACAGTATTCAACTCCAATAACAAGCACGGAGAACATACAGGAACAACTAGGAACAAACAGTAGTAGTTCCTACTCCCTCTTATGGCTGATTAAAGCAACAGCATCCAATTACATCTCACTTGAGCATTTAAAGTGACAGATACATTATTTCAATCATGGCTTATATATATATATATAGCCAACCCAAGATTAAGATTACATCCCTAACAGTTACCTTCCCACTAAAGGTGGTTCCTATTTTTCTGCTTGCATTTTTTTACGTGCTTTCGAACTGCTAGGTTGGCAGAAGCTGGGACAAGTAACAGGAGCCCACTCTGTTACATGGTGCTAGGGATTCGAACCGCTGAAATGCTGACATTTCTGATCGACAAGCTCAGCTTCTTAGCCACTGAGCCACCATGTCTCTTTGCCGGAGTGGCTCAGTTAACCATATATGAACTTATAGAATAGAAGAACATATAGAACCATAGACTAGACTACACTGGACTAGACTAGAACAGAACAGAATAGAACAGAATAACATAAAGAACCATATATAAACTTAAAGAAGATTAAGAAACCCTTTTGAGGAAAGTATGGATACCTCAAGTTGCCAAATTTGGAAGGTTTAAAATGTGAAAATATTTATTTCAAGACCATTTGGCTACCTAGATGGTTCTTTTTCTAATGCCCCCCTAGATCATGTTCTTCTACTAATGGGGAACAAATGGACCATGATGCCCTCCATATGAGTTGAGAAATAAGACCTATAATTTCCAGCCATTAACCTGAAGGCCATGTTCTCGAGGACCTACAGGCAGGGTAATCTAATCAATTACTGTAATATTTTTTAGTCTGGGAATGAGAGCAAAACAAATCACAGGTATCAATAGAAGAAAACATTCGTCGTTCAGGGTTGACTTGTGGGGTCCTTGAGGCTCTCTGAGCTTGGTGGTTATCTTGTAGATATTTAATTAGCCAACTAGATAATATCAATGGTGAACTAATAATGTTACCTAGTTTGGTAATGAAATGTCTGCAAGAAAACCCCCAAGTTCAGAGAGAGCACCAAGGACGCCCCAAATCACAGTGTTTATGATAAGAAAAGAGAATGAAGAGAGTTTATGATAAGAAAAGAGAGTGTATTTGCTTTCCTCAAATACAGTATTTGAGGAAAGCATCTATCAGCATATTCATGAACTGGAATAGGACATAGCAACAAGGACAGCCTTTGGGAACTATTTGGTGACTGAGAGCCATGCCGGATGGCTCGGAACTTGGGCGTGGCTTAGCTATGTAGCTCTGAGTCTGTGCAAGAAAACTAATGTAGTCTGCCCACTGAATTGAAACTGGAAACCAATCTATCCTCTGCCTGTGTTTTGCCTGTAACTACTACCATGTTGGTGAATCCACTATTGGTATTGTACATTTACTCATGTGTTATTATGTATGTAAAGAACTTAATGAATCCTGCTGAATCGGTTATCTGTGTGTGCGCTTTCTGGATGTGATTTCTGCAACAAACTCTGACAGCATCATTATCCACAGCTCAAGAAATACTGTTTACATTGCAGAACACAAGAAAGAGTTTGCGGTGGTTTTTTTTTTTAATACCAACCTGGTATCTTCCTTTTCATCCCAGAATACTACGGTGTGGTCCTGTCCTTGGGAAGAGAAGACAGACTGTTTCCCACAGGGCAAGAAGTACATGAATGTGGCAAAGGAAGGACTTTTCATTTGTCCTATAACCGAAATGGCCAGGGGCCGCTGTATAAAAAGAAAGGTTAGACTTGAGGAATGAAGTTAATATAGCAATAGCAATAGGACTTATATACCGCTTCATAGTGCTTTACAGCCCTCTACAAGCGGTTTTACAGAGTCAGCATCTTGTCCCTGCATCCTCATTTTAGGTTTAGGTTTGGTTTGGTTTATTAGATTTATATGCCGCCCTTCTCCCAATGACTCAGGGCGGCGTACAATATTAAAAGAAACACATAATACAAAATTTTAAAAAAATTAAATAGAATATCCCAAACAAACCCAATTAGAATTAACAATAACATTTTTTTTTAAAGAAATGAATTAAAATTAACAATGATCAATAATTTATTTTGTTTTGTTCAGGCTAGGCTGGCTTGCTGGAAAAGCCAACTTTTTAGGGCGCGTCGGAAGGACCGGAGGTTGGGGATTATATGAAGCTCTGGGGGCAGCTCATTCCAGAAGGGAAGGTGCTCCCACACAGAAGGCTCTCCCCCTGGGGGTCGCTAGCTGACACTGTCTGGCCGACGGCACCCTGAGGAGGCCAACTCTGTGGGATCGCGCTGGATGGTGGGAGGCTACCGGTGGCAGTAGGTGCTCTCGCAGGTATCCTGGCCCTAGGCCATGGAGCGCTTTAAAGGTCATAATTAGTACCTTGAATCGCACCCGGAAGACAACCGGCAACCAGTGCAGGCCGCCTAAAAGGGGTGTAACATGGGAGCACCTAGGTGCCCCCATGATAAACTTGCGCAGCCGCATTCTGGACCAGCTGAAGCCTCCGGGTGCTCTTCAAGGGCAGCCCCATGTAGAGAGTGTTACATGGGGCTTTTACCCACCTTGGAAGGATGGAAGGCTGAGTTAACCTTGAGCCGGTCAGGATTGAACTGCTTGCAGATGGCAGTCAGCAGAAGTAGCCTGCAGTACTGCATTCTAACCACTGCACAACCATTGAACCCTATTCAGAACTCTGTATTTACAAGCTGGATTTACCTAAAATACTAAGCCATCTAGGCTGTGGCTTGCCCAATAAACCATAGTTTTGAGAAACCATTATTCAACCATTATTTTAGGAGCATGTGCTCCTATATTATGGCACAACCAAGCACCATAGAAAGACTGAAGCATTTGATAATTTATAATATGAGCGCTGTAGCAACAACTAAGAACAAATGGATTGAAATTAAATTTCTGTAACTCAACACCTTGCTGATGTCCTGACCAACAATTGCAGGATCTCACTTAGATGGACCAAATAGTTGGCTGAGAAGATGGGACATGGATACTATGCATGGACAAACCTAATTTTAGGGATCCCCCACTTGTTATACTCTGCAGTAAGTCCTTGACTTATGACCCCAAACCTTTCTGTTGCTAAGTGAAACATTTTGTCAGGCATGCTTCCTTCCATATCCAAGAAAGAAAAACCTCAACTCCATTTGAATAGAGATAAAGTACTTTTACTAGATATGAATTGATAGCTGAATTTTTGGTCTCCAGGAATCTTGGAGTCCAACATTGAAGTCGAGAGGGATTCCATGTATCACATCTTCTCTTTAGGGTTTCCTCTGAGAATTCAGTTGGTCACTGTTAGATATACAATATCTACCGAGGTGGGTAGCTAAAACTGTCTACCGTGGACCTTACACGTTTCTTAAGAGGTCCCTAAAGGGGGCCTGCATAAGCGCACCAACCTGCCTACTGAACCTGTCCCCCTATCTCCATTTATATGTACTCTTTTTATATGTTTACGGCTGTTTTGCTTATTTATATCCATTAATTTGTGCCATTTTTGTCCTGTGTTTTCATACTTGTTTCCTTGTACTTGTTGACAAATAAAAAATCAAAAAGAAAGGAAGGAAGGAAGGAAGGAAGGAAGGAAGGAAGGAAGGAAGGAAGGAAGGAAGGAAGGAAGGAAGGAAGAGAAATATAGAATGCTGGCCAAGATGGACTAGCTGTGTTCTTTTAACTTACTTTAAGCTCAGAAAGATATCAGACTTAATTACCAATCCCTTAAATGTCTAACACTATAACATCCTTCTTCATGATTTATTTAACTCTATTAATTATATTAACTATTGGTACCTTTATTTTACACAACTCCTTTTACTACTAATACTTCTATCTAGTCTCTAACCATCGATAAAACAATTTCCAAATTGCATAATAATCCGTTTGCTCTTTCTCTTTAATAGCCAGTTAATCTATTCATTTCTACACTTTCTAATATTTTAAGCCAAGAATAGATTAAATAATGAACATGACTATAAATTTTAATTGTTTTCACAAAATACTTGTACCCAGACGACACGCTGTGTGATGGAAGATGGATTGTTTGCATTGAAATAAAATAAAAAATAAAAAAATAAAAAGACATCGGACATCGCAGCCTAAACTCCAAAATCCTCTTGTACCTTTTCAGGTTTGGTGTCCCAACATTCCACCATGAGAGCCTGCAGTCGGTGGAACTGTACTTCTTCTGGCTGGCCCAGGACGGGCCGAATCCCCTTGGAGAGTTTCTTTGAAATTTGCAGCTGATGCTGTCCCAGGATGGGTCGTTGCCCCGACAGCAGCTCATACAACACCATTCCATAGGAAAACATGTCCACCTAAACCAGAGCAAAAGGAACAGAGAAACTGAGATTCGTGGCAGTGGGGAAGGCAAGAAAGTTGAGTATCAACTCTGCAAAGCTTCCTATCCCATCAGCCTCAACCAGCAGGTGATTGTGGGAATTGTATTTTACCAGGTTGTTTGCCCCTTCCTTTATATATCACTTTTTGGCTTTCCTTTTATTTCCAAAGTCTGGAATAACAATCAGTGCAAAGGGGGGAAAAAACCTAATAGCGGGAAAAATAACATTAAGACGCAAAATTAAGAGACACTGGAGAAAAGGACGAGGTCACATTTCAACATGAAGCGGATGTAAATCCCATTTAAGACTGAGTGGAATCTGAGTCAGACTCAACTGCACTGTTGTTTCTCTGTGTGTCCTAACGTTGAAGTCAGGGACAAGAAATAGGTAAAAAGTCGCTTGCGGAAAAAAAGATTGAACAGTCAAGAACATACAACTATAGCACTTAGACTTATATACTGTTTCACAGTGCTTTTACAGCCTTAGGCAGTTTACAGAGTCAGCCTATTGCCCCCAACAATCTGGGTCCTCATTTTACCCACCTCAGAAAGTTGGAAAGCTGAGTCAACCTTGAGTCTGGTGAGATTTGAACTGCCAAATTGCAGGCAGCCGGCAGTCAGCAGAAGTAGCCTGCAGTACTGCGCTCTAACCACTGTGCCACCGCAGCTCCTATATATACCGTATTTTTCAGAGTATAAGACGCACCACGATTTTAAAGAGGCAAATTAAAAAGGTTTTGTACTTTGCAGACCTCCCAAAAATGACCCATTTTTTGCAAAAACAGGCCGTCTTTTTTCTCAAAAAAAGGGCATGCATATCCTTTAGGAGGCTTATAGAGTGCTCCTGGGGGCTGGCGGGGGTCATTTTTGCCCTCCCCAGCCCTCAGGAGCACTCTAGAAGCCTCCTAAAGGCTATGCATGGCCATTTTTGCAAAGGGGGCGAGGTTTCAGGAGGCTAAAAATGTATGACACACCCAGATTTTCACCCTCTTTTTTGGTTGAAAAAGGTCCGTCTTATACTCCGAAAAATATGGTAGCTTCACTTGTTGTCATGTTGATGGGAAATAGAATCTTGACTCTGGCTAATAGATGGACGATGAATTGTAGTTTGGATGGCAGAGCCTGTCATGGCACCTTCTATGCATGTACCTTTTCGTCGTAAACAATGCGAGGTCGTATCTCTGGAGCCTGATAGCCAGGAGTGCCCTCCACCCCCAAAGCTCCTTCATGGAAGGACTGCCGAGAAATCCCATAGTCGGACAGTTTGATATTGATGCTTTCCTTCACGTCTAAAGACCACACGAGGATGTTGTCGGATTTCAAGTCACAGAAAATGATTTTCTTCTTGTGAAGGTAGGCCAGGCCTGCGGCAATCTGATAGGTGATCTTGAAGGTCAGCATAGGCCCCAGAGGCACAAAGGGAGCTCCTAGAGCAAAAGACGGGAGAAAAGACCATCTGTGTCAACGTTGACTGACTGACGAACCCCACCAAAGCAGGCATGGTTGAGACAATCCAATCTCTGATTGCCAAGCTTTATTGTGTACATCATTTCGGCACTGATGAGGGCAAAACCAGATCTAGCTAATTCCTGAGCAAACCCATCTAATTAAAGTATAGGATTCTCCTACCCGCTATTAATGCAGATCACATTGTCCAATTGAATGCCACTGTATTGTTATGAGAAAAAGCCTTCGGTTTTGGCAAAGATTTGCCAAAGTGTCCTTGGCTCTTATGGTTCGTCTTCTTGGATCCTACATTCCAACTCACATTTCCCTCCCACCTGCTTCATTGGCAAGCTGAAAAGCAATAATGGTTGCAACAGCAAAAGCACGCTTCAAACTTGACCATCTGATTGTCAACTACACTAATATCCACCTCTAATAGTGTAATGGCATGTGGGGAAGACCTTGGGAGTTCAGGTGAAGAGATGCTACGACTTAGATAAGAGACAGTATAGCCCATAGTTGGATACTAAGTGGGACAAGAAGTTCAGAACATTCTCCTTAGTTTCTTAGGCTATAAAGGAGATGGCGGGAGGATGTACCTTTAGATTTGCAAGATTGATGGGACCTCACCGGATAAATCAGACAGTAAACATGACCAGATGAGCTCATTTGTTTCATTGTAAAGCTACATTGATATAATCTTGCAAGTCTGAAAGTGTAAGTAGTTCTCAACTTACAGCCATTCATTTAGTGACTGTTCAAAGTTACAGCCCTGAAAAAAAGTAACGTATGACCGTTTATCACACTGATGACCATTGCAGCATCTCCAAATGGTTCATATTTATGATGGATGCAATGTCCCAGTGTCATGCAATCACTTCTTCTGACCTTCTGACAAGCAAAGTCAATGGGAAAGCCAGATTCACTTAACAACCGATCAGAAGGTTGACAGTTCAGTGGTTTGAATCCCTAGCGCCACATAACGGAGTGAGCTCCCGTTACTTGTCCCAGCTTCTGCCAACCTAGCAGTTTGAAAGCAGGTAAAAATGCAAGTAGAAAAAATAGGGACCACCTTTGGTGGGAAGGTAACAGTGCTCCGTCTTCGGACAGCGCTGGCCTTGAAATGGAGCTGAGCACCACCCCCTAGAGTTAGGAAGGACTAGCACATATGTGTGCAAGGGGAACCAACCTAACTTAACAATTGTAGGAATTCACTTAACAGTCGTGGCAAGAAAAGTTGCAAAACTCACATAACAACTTTCTCACAGAAATTTTGGGCTCCATTGGGGTCATCAGTCAAAGACTTCCTGTGCAATATTGGCTAAAGATTCCATGATGGACATGTCTGGTGAGAAGATCTTCCTTTTACCTTTAGAGTTTTCTGCGAGTACAGTGGTCAGGCTGCCCAAAGGAGCCAGTTCTAAGGCCAAGCTGAGCGGGTGGATGCTGATCCCAGTCAGGGAGACCACACAGGGGTACTGCAGTGAGTGGAGCATGCTGGCCTCTTGGCGGAATTCCGAGAAGCTCTTCATGGCATCCATTGCCCGCAGATGCCTCAGCATGGTGTCTGTGCAAGGAAAAACAGACACGTGTATAAGGTCCATCCTGTTGGATCAGTGGTGGGTTTCAAAATTTTTTTGAACCTACTCTGTGGGTGTGGCCTCCTTTGTGGGAGTGGCTTGCTGGCCATGTGTTTGTTTTCTTTTTTTCTTTCTTTCTTTCTTTCTTTCTTTCTTTCTTTCTTTCTTTCTT